TCTCTTCCAACACCAAAACTCAAAAGCATCAATTCTTCTATAGTCTTCCTTATTTAGTGTCCAGCTTTTGCATGCATATGAGGTTACTGAAAATACTATGGTTTGGGTCAGGTGCACCTTAGTCCTCAAGCTGACATCTTTGCTCTTCAACACTTTAAAAAGGTCTTGTGCAGCAGATATAATACAGCTAGAAGATATAAAATCAAATAGCTAGAAAACTGGACTGCCATCTTCTACTTGAGTTTTCTAATAATTTTGAGGGGTTTCTGGGTGGTGCAAACATTTGACATGCTTAGCCACTCACTTAAAGGTTGGAGGTTCAAGTCCACTCAGAGGAGCTTCTGAAGAAAGGTCTGCTGATCTACTTCTAAAAACTCAGCCATTGAAAACCCGATGGAGCACAGTTCTACTCTGACACCTATGGGGCTAAACACAGTCAGAATCAACTTGAGGGCACATGGACTGATAATAATTATGAAAAGTGTGGAAGTCATTAAGATTATTGATCATTGTGATGACTAATAGTTATCAAGTATTTACTGTAGGCCATGCATGCACAAGTCTACTTGCTTTGTATGATATTGATGGTGATAAGAGTTAATACTATTGTGCTTCTTATGGTACAAATGCTATTCTAATTACTTTAAATAAAAGATTCCATTCAGTCCTTATGCTGCTGCTGCTGCTGCGTGCCATAGAGTTGGTTCCGACTCATAGAGACCCTGTACAGGGTTTCCGAGGCTGTAAATCTTTACGGGAACAGAAAGCCTCATCTTTCTCCCACGAAACAGCTGGTAGTTTCGAACTGCTTACCTTGTGGTTCGCAGCCCGATTCGTAACCACTACGCTACCAGAGCTCCTTATAATCACCCTAAAATAGCTAAACTATTATTAGCTTTATTTTGTAGATAAGGAAAAGGAGGCTAAGAGAGATGAGATCATTGCTCAGGGACATGTGACCAGGTGAAACCCAGAATGGCAGGCTCTAAACTGCCTGCAGCTTTTGTGTTAATGGAGATCTCACATTTCTCCCTGAAACTTGGCTTTAAAAATATAAGTTTAATTCCTCTCCTTCCCCATGTGTATTAGCAGGATGCTAATTTCTGTCATATAAATTACCTCATAGGGAGGTAGCATCTCTGCGGGAAAAGGAGGATTTCTGTTTTTCTAATAGCCTGCTCTTCTTTCTCTCTCTAACCAATCAACTTAGACCCCAACCCTCCTCACTGCACAGGATGGGTTTCAGCACTGGTATTCTTTAAAGCAGCTAAAGTACTAACCATGCTATGGGAAGATGCATCCCACCCTATATATTCTCAGCTACTCTCTCAAACATGTCAGTTACCACAGTGTGCTGGTATGTTGCACCATCAGAAGTTGCACATGTGTGACTAGGGAGAGATTTTGGCTTCATTTCTTGGCTCAAACACTTGTTTAGTCTCTTAGGCACATCGTGGACGATATTTTGGCTTTCGTTCCCTGCAATTAAAAAACCCACAAAACTGAGCAAATGGGCAATCTGCTGTCTCTGATTTCAGAAATTGCCATGTACACAGGTGCCTGTTCTATCATCTGACCATTATACATGGTCATCAGATTTTACTTACTATCAATAAGGGACGCATAGCCTGCCCAGAGCCGTATCTTAGTGAGTCTGTGAACAAGACTGAAGTTAGGAAATTTGCTCCAATCCCTAGGTTGTGCATTCTGGTCATTAATTTTTTAATCCAATAGCTTTTCTTGGTGGCCTGTGCCAATTTCTAAGTACCAGCTGTGCACACACACACACACACAGTATTCTATTTCTCTTTCTTCTCTGCAGTTTTTGAAAATATCATTCTCATCCTCAGCCATCAGCCATTATTGAAAACTAAGATTTCAGGGTGACTCTGGCTGTACAGAGCATTGAGACAGGTTGTAGAGTGGCTTGACTAGGGGTACACAGCATGTTTGTGCGTGAGGCACTGAGACAAGGTCAGAATCTAGGCACCCTGGTTGCCAGGGAAAAGGGCCTCCCACTGTTACACCTGCATGACCTTGCTTGTAACAATAGAACATGAGTTCATATGTAGAAACTTCATGAAATAATAGTGTGTCCTTTGGCAAAATGCAATTCCTTTCCTGGCCTCAGGGTCTTCTGGAAAATAAGCAGGTTGGATTAGATGACTTCCTGTGAATATTCATTGTGGTCAGATTCAGTTAAATCTACTCTCTGCTTTTAGTGCTACTCATCCCTTCATTACATAAGATATGCATATTTATATGAGTGACCTCATATCTTGTGAAAGTCAATTAATAATAAGTGATATTTATATTCATTCATTTAGCTTACATGTAGTGAGCTTTCAACTAATACGTACTCTGGAGATACAAAGATGTCACTAAGGAGGATACATATTCATTGAGTGATTAGCCTTTAAATTGCAATAAAAGATTTGTTGCTTCTTTTCACTGATACTTTTTAAAAATAGCTTACTTTTTCAAGTAGAACAATGTGAACACAGAGAGAAGAGACATTGGTTTAAGCCATCTGTTGTCAATATGGAGAAAACATTGACTTTTCTGTTATGATACTATGTGTTCGTGTGTACTTGAGATACACTGTGAAGTTGAATTTTTATAAACTTAAAATTCAGCCAAGATGAAACTTGAAAAATAGCCTAATTTTTAGCCTGTGTAGACGACTCTTATAAAAATGTGTGCTTTTTGAATATAGGTGCAAACCATGCACTAGGAAATCTTATAAAAATCACTCCATAACTATTTTACATCAAAGGATATGCAGTTTTCAAATGCCAAAATATTTGCTTTGCTGGTCATTTCTGTTTAGTAACTCCAAATGGCTTTTGGTTTGCAGACATATGTAATCCAGATCCTTCTTGTGATCAAGCCAGACCACCCCCTGTGCAGTCTTACATGGATGCTGCTTTCCTGCTGGATGGCTCCCGGAATGTGGGAAGTGCTGAATTTGAAGACATCCGAGTTTTCACAGGAGCCCTGTTAGATCACTTTGAAATCACCCCTGAGCCCATGACCTCCATCACTGGAGATCGAGTAGCCCTGCTGAGCCATGCTCCCCCTGACTTCCTACCCAACACTCAGAAGAGTCCGGTTCGTTCTGAGTTCAACCTTACCACCTACAGCAGTAAGCGCCTCATGAAGAGGCACCTGAAAGAATCAGTTCAACAACTCAATGGAGACACTTTCATTGGCCATGCCTTGCAGTGGACTCTGGACAATGTCTTTTTAAGTACGCCCAACTTAAGAAGAAACAAAGTCATATTTGTGATATCTGCTGGAGAAACCAGTTACTTAGACAAGGAAATCTTAAAGAAGGAATCCTTGCGAGCCAAATGCCAGGGATATGTCCTGTTTGTGTTTTCCCTTGGCCCTGCTTGGAATGACAAGGAACTGGAAGATCTAGCCAGCCTCCCTTTGGATCACCACTTGCTCCAGCTTGGCCGAATTCATAAACCTGACCACAGATATGGTGTGAAGTTTGTGAAGTCCTTTATAAATTCAATCAGGCGTAAGTCATAAAAGCTGTACTTTTCTCCACATTAAGAGTATGCTTGGAGGGTTGATGAGCTGATGTGGATTCTTGAAAACCTTTTCTCTGCTTTCAAGGGTACTGCAAGGTTACAAAAGGAAAATATGCAATGATAGGCAGTTGGGGTGTGGGGAGTCTCTGGTTCCTAAGCATTTAATTTTCTGGCTCATCCTTTTTATGCCTCTGGTTTCTATGGAGAAGCAATCATAACACGCAGCTGTTGACACATCTGTTTGCATGCAGCAGTGTGTCTGGGTCTGTGAAGTCACAACCTGGACTGTAGCTTCAGAGTAGAAACCATTGCCCTGTAATATTAGCTTTTGATGGAGTGTTTCACCCATCTACACACTAAGACAGAGCCAAAGAAAAATTAAAATAAACAATCCTAGGCTTGGCTTTTACAGTTTCTGAAGTCAGAGCTTGAAGTACTGGCAGATACCATTTTACTTGTCAGAATGAAAGATAAAGCCTTTCAAAACTTTCTCAATCTTGTTAGTGACGTTTTATCATGCCACTAATGAGTGTAATTTGTACTCATGAAAAAGAGACATGGGCTGGATTTCGTGAGTTCAGCTTACCTTGGAAGTTTTCAATCCACTTTGAATGCAACAGGATGCTTAAAAAGAAGCTCTGTCCTGCTATGACTCTGAAAGTTGCTGAAAGGAACCCCTGCAGGTACAGACAGTAAAGTGTTTGGCTGCTAACTAGAAGGTTGACAGTTCTGCCCCACCCCCACCCCCCTTTAACCCCTCATCCCAAAGGATCTGAGGAAGAAAGACCTAACAATCTACTTACATAAAGATTGCAACCTAGGAAAGTCTATGAGGCAGTTCTCCTCCAACACTTGGGGTAGCTATGAGTCAGAATTGGCTCAACAGAACCTAACAGCACGATAACAGGATCTTTGAATGTTTCTGTGGTGAATGAACCTTTTCTGTTCAGATAAAGAAATGTGAACCCACAAGAAACACAGTGGTCAGGAGAGTGCACGTGAGACCCTGATGAGGCCTCTGTCACTTAGATGGTGAGACCCATCAAAGATGCAGCGACACAGATTACTCGGCTTTCAGGGTAAGGTCTAAGGAGCCTTGCAAAATTGCTGATGGGGCCGATCCTGTCTCCTAGTCCTCTGCTGCTCAAAATGTGAATGTAGAGCCAGCAGGATCAGCATCATCTGGAAGCTGGTTAGAAATGCAGACTCTCAGGCCCTACCCCAGACATGTCTTAAAGCTAGTAACCATAAGCCATTTGCAAAGATAAAACAAAAGAAGACCTTGAAACATTCTGAGAAACTTGTTAAGCCCTCCTTATGTGGCAAAAAATTGGCAGGAATTTTCTTCCCTGGTCACTTCACATTTTAAGTGAGATTTCACAGTAATTCATGGAACTATGATTAGATAAGAGAGTCACCCCAGGGAAAAGGGAATAGACATTAAGTAAGTACATAGCATAGGGGAGGTCCGTACATAAAAGTGTTTTGGAAAATTTTAACCATGATGCAGTTATATATCACTTTTCTAGACTTAAATACTGGTAAATTTATGATCTTTAAAGCATAGCTGTAAAAGTAAAATAAATCAAAAAAGGTTTTGGTATAATCATATGAGAGCCTGTTCCCAGGAGTGCTAACCACATCTCCACCCTTCAAGAGAAGAGTCCTCCCTTCTACTGATTAAGAATATTCAGCTGAGGCAGGGTTTCCATAGGAGTAAAGGTTTATTATAGTAAAGAGACTTGCAAGCAGAGAAGAGGGGCGCTCATTGCAAAGTTTAACCCCCATCTCTCTGAACAAAGGTTTTGCTGGGGTTTAAAAAGTTCGAGGAGTCCTGCTGTGGTGCTGTGGGTTAATGCGCCAGACTGCAAAGCCAGCTTGAACCATAAAGTCGGAGATTCAAGCTCACCAGTCATTCCTATGAAACCCTATGCAGCGTCGCTATGGGTCAGAATCAACTCGATGGCACTTAATAACAATAACAACAACAACAACAAAAAGTTTTGGGTAGGGAAAAGGCATAATGTTTATTCATAGGAATAGGTGGAATTTTGGGAAATAGCCCTTTAGGAGGGGCTGTGCTAATTGGATATGTGCACAGCATTTCTTCAAGATGGATTCCACTGCAAAGGCCTCTGGTAGGAGCAGACAAAACTTATTCTGGAATGTTCAGCATGGGTAGTTCTTCAGGACCCTGATTCAAACCCCTCCAGGGGAGAGGGGTGGTGGCATTCTCCTCTGGCCCCAGTAGAAGGCCTATCCGTTAAAGTTATGCTTAGGGCATTGGGTAAACCTGTGTTGTGTGGCCTGTAAAACATCTCACAAAGAAGTAAAAATACAGAATTTTTATGGATAATCCTTCTTAATGGCATGTCCCATAAAATGTGGACTTTTCATGGATGGTCTTTCATAATGGCATGTTCCAGAATGTGACTGCTCAGCTCTGTACCCTGGGTATGTCCTGCACAGCTTTATAATCGCTTAAGTAAGGATAGGTATAGGCTTCAACATTTCTAAGGTCACAAGATTTAGTCAATACGTGGCTTATAATTAATCCTGATTCCTGGACCCTCGTCTCCCTGTCTCAACATGCTTAATTCCATAGCAGGCGCACAGATGCACACTCACGCACTCAACATTAACACATAGTTATGAGGGACATTCTCAGAGCCACTAACTCAGCATCAAGGAGTGATCAAAACAGACACAGTCACTGCCCTCCTAGGAATTATGTTCTGACTCCGTCTCTAAATCGTTGTGACTTTTGTAACAACACATGGCTGCAATTGAGTTTGAGGAGCCCTGGTGGTGCTGTGGGTTAGGCTGCTATGCATAAGGTCAGCGGTTCAAACCAGCAACCACTCCTCAGGAGAACGATGAGGCTGTGGGCTCCTGTAGAGATTTACAGTCTTGGAGACCCTGTACAGGATTACTGTGAGTTGAAATTGATTCAATGTCAGTGGGCTTGGTTTTGGTTTTTAGTGGCAACAGAGTTTATCGGGCACAGTCCACACCAGAATCAACACAGTTCCTACAAGAAACAAAACTGCCTGATGTCAAGACAGATAAAAATTTTAAATCAAGTATACAAAAAGGGAAGCATCGGAGTGTTAGGTCATTTGGTCTAGAAGCACACAGCTCCACCTTCTACGGCAGTTCTGGTGACGGTACTGTAATATAACCCAGAAAAGAGCTGTTATTTATAATAAGGAGATTCAAGTGTGTTAGCTACTCAGTTCAATTTAATGCTTGAAGGAAATAGGCAATATATTTCTTAAGGTTTTGTTAAAAGTCAAAACTGGCTTTTCAAATTATAAATAGTAAAGAAGAGGTGTGTGACATTATCTCCAAAAATTCATCGTGGGCTACATGTTGGGCTACTAACTGCAAGGTCAGCAGTTCAAGTCCATTAGGTGCTCCACAGGAGAAAAGATGAGACTTTTTGCTGCCATAAAGATTTACAGCCTCAGAAACCCTATGCAAGGTTGCTGTGAGTCTGAACTAAATCAATGGCATGCAGCCAGCTCTATTAATCTCCTACACTTCTAAATGAAATGAGCCATAGATGAATTAAACCCAAGATGGCATTGTTGTCATTGTTATTAGTGATGGAAAAGCCATAAAGGGAATTTCTTTTTCCTGTTTCATTCAGATATTGCAAAGGAGCAAATAAAAAATAACGGTTTGATTTGTGCATGGCAATTAGAGGTTGGAATGTTAGAACTGACTCATCTCCTCTAATGCTGGACTGACTTTGGAAGCTAAGGAGAGCTTATGAGAAAGTTAGATGAATTTTCTGCCTATAGATTCAGCAGAGACACATTTTCTAATTTCAAACCAACAGATTCCCCAGCAAAATCTGCCTTCATCTCAGATGGTCAGCAAAATTGGCATCTTTCTCTGGTGGAAGTTGAGAGCAGTGAAGTGATACTTTGCATACAGAACAGATGTACAGAATGATTAACAGCTGTGAATAAGAAACTCACCACAGACTTTTTTCTTCCTAGGTGCAATCAACAAATATCCACCAATAAACTTCAAAACGAAATGCAACAGACTCCCCTCTATGGATCCACAGCAGCCTCTTGGACAGTTGCGAAGGTATTATCTGCTTGGTATTACTTAATAAATTAATATGTTCCTCTTTCCTGCTGCTTCTCCTCCTCTTCCTTTTCTTTCCCTTCCTCCTTCTTCTCCTCCATCCTGCTCAGGTAAAATCTCTTGCTAAATACTATTAAAATAGGAAGGAATGAAGATAATCAGAATGACTAGAATAATCTGAAAATCAACCAAGTAGAACACAGAACTTTTTTAAAGTTTAAAAATCTAACTGTTGAAATAAAACACTCAATGACAATGAGGCTACCTAATGAACAGATCTTGGTTTCTAAATACCATTCACCACCAAAAGGAACCAGGACTTCTTGGAGTAATGTTCAGTTCTAATCTGTAACAGGGAAAGTACAATGTGAGTCTGGGACAACTTGTGCCAGAAAGAAAAAGGGAGTCAAAAATTAATAGTGTCATGTCAAAAGGAAAAAGGAACTGTCTTGAAAGAACTCCTACTGGCCTAATTTTGGACAATCTGAACATCAGAGAGATTAATTACAGTACGTTGAATTTTTTTTAAATCCACAAATCTATGTTGTTAAGTGCTGTACTGACTCACAGCAAACTTGTATAGTGTTTCCAAAGAGTGTCTTGTGGGTTTGAACTGCCAACTGTGGCTATCAGTCCAGTGCTTATCCTACAATGCCACACTATTCTATGTTGTTAAGTGCCATTGAATTGGTTCAGATCCATAGTGACCCTGTATAGGGTTTCCAAGGAGCAACTGGTGAGTTTGAACCACTAACCTGTACTTCAAACTGACTTAAAAAGGCAGAGAGAAGGAAAAGGTCTTCTTTATAGAATTGTTGTTACTGCTGTTGTAAGTGCCATTAAGTCGGTTTTGCCATAGTAACCCTATATGGGTTTCTGAAGATTGGCTGATGGGCTTGTACTACCACCCTTGGGTCAGCAGTCCAGTGCTATCCTAAAGTACATTTTGTTGTTGTTGTTCAGTGCCATTGAGTCAATATTGACTCATAGTGACCCTATGCCCAACAGAATGAAACACGGTCCAATCCTGTGCCAACCTCACAATTGTTTTTATGTTTGAGCCCATTGCTGCTGCCACTGTGCCAATTCATTTCGTTGGGGGTCTTCCTCTTTTTCTCCAGTCCTCCACTTTACCAAACATGATATCCTTCTCCAGGAACTGGGCCCTCTGATAATATGGCTGAAGTATGAGAGATAAAGTCTGGCTATCCTGGCTTCCAGGAGGCATTCTGAGTGTACGTCTTCCAACACAAATTGGGTTGTCCTGGCAGTCCATGGTACTTTTAATATTCTCCACCAACACAATAACTCAAATTCATCAATTCTTCTGTCGTCTTCCTTGCTCATTGTCTGGCTTTCACATGCAAATGAGGTTACTGAAAATATCATGGTTTGGGTCAGGCGCACCTTAGTCCTCAAGCTGACATCTTTGCTCTTCAACGAGTCATAGCAGCCCTGAATAGGGTTTATGAGGAGTGGTCGGTGGGTTTGAACCATCAATTTTGTGGTTAGTAGTACAATACTTAAGGATCTCTGGTAGCATAGTGGTTACGAATTGGGCTGCTAACCTTGGGGTCAACAGTTCGAAACTACCAGCTGTTCCATGGGAGACAGATGAGGCTTTCAGTCCAATACTTATCTAAACCAGCCCAAAAGCCCACTGACATACTACTTGGTAATTACAAAGAGGAAAATGTGCCTTTACATTGTGCAGTCAGGCAGTACCCACTTTAATCCAGCTCTGACTTTATGTCCAGTGCTTATCCTACAGCACCACACCAAGATTCTAGAAAGATAAAATAGAAGTCATGAATGAGAGTCAATTTTCAAAGAGATAAAGGGATGAATGATAATTTCCTAGAACTTACATAAGACCTAAGTTCACAGATGAAGAAAGCATAACATATATCAGACAGGATAAAGAAAAGAAACCAAGTTAGACATGGTGTGTAGGGATATGCAGAACACACAATAAAGAGGGGAGCCAAAAGGAAAAAGCAGCTCATCTGTAAAGAATGATAATTAGACTGGCAGCTGAATTATTAACAGGAGCAGTGGAAATCACAAAGCCAGTGAGTGCCTTCAAAACAGTGCGAGAAAAATTTTGCCAACTTAAAATTGTGTACTCAGAGAAACTGTCTTTCAAAAGTAATGGTAAAACAAAAACAAGACAAATCATAGTTTAGCACAAAAAACCTTTACTAGAAAAAAACAAAAACAAAAACAAAAAAACCTTCTAAAGTATCTGCTTTAAGTAAAATAGAAAGGGCACAGAAGGAAGCCAAGGTGTACTATGCAATAATGAATGATAACATTTTTAATTTTTAAGAAAGTCTAAATAAATGTCTTTTTAAATAATTTGTTGTTGTTGTTAAGTGCCATCAAGTCTGTCCCAACTTATAATGACCCTGTATAGGGTTTCTGAGGAGTGGCTGGTGAGCTTGAACTGCTGACCTTGTGGTTCAAAGTGACCTTGCAGTCCAGTGCATTAACCCACAGCGTCACATGTAGTAGCATCTAATTTGTGGATTTACAAAAAAGCTGTACTTGTTAACAGAGCTACAGAAAGAAAACATTTGGCACATGGTAGTTTTAACAGAATAAAGCCATTCCACCATGAGTATAAATATTGAGAAATATTTCTGATTCATTAAATATTAATTTAAACATGAGAAAAGACATTAAACAACTCTGTTCCTGCCCCCCCAGCCCGACCCCAATCCTCTGGGGATCATTAGAACCAGGTAACTTCACTAGTGAAGTCTATCACATGTTTGACAAGAATTGACACCATTCCTTTGCAAACACTTCCAAAACACACAAGAAGTGAGTGCTGCCTAAGTCATTCTGTAAGGTCAGCATTATCTGGTACCAATGAGAGATAAACACATCATAAGAAAAGAAAACTATAGACCAATATACCTTATTAATATAGATACAAAAATCCTCAATAACATACTAGAAAAAAAGTATATGCAATAGCATATTTAAAAAATTATACAATCATGACCAAGTGTAATTTATCCCAATGATGCAAACATTGTACAACATAAAATCAAAGTAATAAACCAAATGGATAGGATGAAGGGGAAAAAACACACAGTCATCACATTTGACACAGAAAAGGCATCTAACAAAATCTAATACCCTTGCTCTTGATGACAACACTTAGCAAATTAGAGATAGAAGGGAAAGTCTTTAATATGTTAAAGGATATTAAAAAATAAAATAAAAAAGAACACTCCACTGCTACAGTTTCCAAAAGATCACAGCCTAGAAAATCCTATGGAATACAGTTCTGCTCTGAAACACAAGGGCCACCACAAGTCAGAATCAACTCCATGGCAGGGTTTGTTTGTTTGTTACTTTGGAATTTCATACTCAGTGGAGAAAGACTGAAAACATTTCCCCCTAAAATCAGGAATGAGACAAGAATGCCTGCTTTCTGGACATTGTGCTAGAAATGCTAGACAGAGCAATTGGGGGGGAAAAGCATCTAAATTCTAAAGGAAGAAGTAAAGTTATCTCTACTTGCAGGTGCCATAATGTATACAAGGAATGTAGAAAATGCCAAAGAATCCACAAGAAAGCCACTATAGTTAATAAGTGAATTTAGCAAAGTTCAAGATACAAGATTAACACAAAAAATATGTTATTTCTATACACAAGCAGTGAATAATCTGAAAAGGAAACTTAAGAACACGGTTCCATTTCCATTTCCATTTACCTAGGAATAAACTTATGTAGGGAGGAAAAAGACTTGTTCAATTAAGACTATGAAATATTACTGAAAAATTTTAAAGAATACATATATGGAAAGACATGCCATGCTCATGGATTAAAAAACTTTATACTTTTAATAGATTCAGTACAATCCCTATCAAAATTCCAGTAGCCTTTTTTGCAGAAATGGAAACAATGATTCTTAAATTCATATGGATTACAAGGAGCCCTGAATAGGCAACACCATCTTGAAAAAGAAGAACAAGGCAATTATAGTCATACTTTCTGACTTCAGAATGTACTGTAAAGCTATAGTAATAAAAACAATGTGGTACTGTTATAAGGATATATGTATACACCAATGGAATAGAATGACAAACCAGATGTAAACCAATTAATTTTCAACAAGGGTAACTTGTCCGCTTAACAGACAAAGAATAGTTTCTTTGATAAATGATGCTAACACAACTGGGTTTTCACATGTAGAAGAATCAGTTTGGACCTATACTTCACAACATTTATGAAAATTAGCTCAAAATGCAACAATGACCTACATATAAGAACTAAAACCATAAAACTATTACAAGAAAGCAATGATAAATCTTCAGGACCTTCATAATTTGTCAATGGATTCCTAGGTACCACAAAAACAGTATGAGTAACAAAAGAAGACTTCATCAATTGTTGTTGTTGTTTTTTAAATTTTGCTTATCAAAGGACCCTATCAAGAAAGGAAAAAGATAAGCTGAAGAATGTGAGAAAATAATTTGGAAATCATATATCTAATAAAGACTTAATATCGAGTATACAAAAAGAGCTCCTACAATTTAACAACGAAAATCAACCCAGTTTGAAAATTGGCAAAAGACTTGACTAAACATTTCACCAAAGTAGGTATTCAAATAGCCAGTAAGTACATTAAGAGATGCTCAATGTTATTAGCTATTAATGAGTACATTAAAATTTCCAAGGGCACACATTAAAAAGAAAAACATAAACTAGATAAAGTAGTTAAGTACCAAAAGGTAGTCAGGGAAAATGAAATAAAAGCAAACAAAAACATAGTAAATACCTTTTAAAATAAAGGCAAGAAGGGAAAAGAGAATGTGAAAACAAATTGTTGTTGTGAAGTGTCATCAAGCTGGTTCCAACTCATGTCGTTGTTGTTGTGTGCCAGTTCCAACTCATAGCAACCCAGTACAGGGTTTCCAAGGCTGTAAATCTTTAGGGAGCAGAAAGCATCATCTTTCTCCCACAGAACCGCTGGTGGTTTCAAA